AAGTAGAAATGTGGGGAGTAGTCTTTGAGATATATCCGATGAAAAGGTATATACCAGTTTTTAAAATATTATAATCAACGAAAATCAATATATTTAGTGAAATAATTTTTCTAAACTCGCCTTTAACCTAGTGGCTTTTTACTATTTTTTCTGATTTTTTACTATTTTTCACCCGTTTTATTAGTATACAGGGTGTCTTAGAAATAAAGTCTCGAGCCATACGAGAACATTCTACGTATAACGGGCGTAGAATAAAAATCCATTAAGTCCATTTTCACTGAAACACACATTTCACCGCCACTAAGTTCACAGCTGTCGCCTACATTACATGGAATCGATTTCATTCTCTAACACAATCTTTGGACTTTTATTCTATTGGAGTTTCATTGCACGCCACCATATGAGAAAATTTTGGAACGGAAAAAGGTACTGTTACCAATTTTCTCCTTTCAAGCCTTTCTCAAATTTCACCTATTCCGTTCCCGAGCATACCCTCTAGACACCCGACCTCTATTCAGACCTAAAAAAAGGCGTGTATCCACGAACTTTTAGCACGACACGTGTCCTGCAAATAATCACTAAAAAAAAGTATTAATAGACCAAGATGACGTTTCCACCAGGTCTGCTCCGAAAACATGGGATTTTAGAGGGGAACGCGTGCTGCGGAATAAATTGTTTGCGCGTAATCGGACGCGTATATTTGCGTGACGTTCATTTCGGCGATTCGATTAAACGTGTGCACTCCGCGCGCACGTGCGCCAAATCAACGTTTGGGATATCTTGTTTCCTATTCTTCTTCTACTTTCGTTGTGGCGTTTGGCTTTTTCCAGCCTTTGTGCTGCTACGTTTGGGTTATTAGTGACCCGTCGTAAACACAATCCCCGACTGAATCACGTCTAATGTATACAGGGTGTTGAATAAAATTTTCGGTCACGGGTGGCCGACGTTGCATGAACAGGGAGTTTTGTGTCGGTCACCGGTGACCGACATAGCTTAAACGGAGTGTTTTCTGTCGGTCACCAGTTTTCACCAAGGCATCAATGGGAGATTTCGTGTGACGGTCACCGGTGACCGACATAGCTTAAACGGAGTGTTTTCTGTAGGTCACCAGTTTTCACCAAGGCATCAATGGGAGATTTCGTGTGACGGTCACCGGTGACCGACATAGCTTAAACGATGGGTTTTCTGTCAGTCACCAGTGTTCACGAAGCATCAATGGGAGATTTCGTGTGACGGTCACCGGTGACCGACATAGCTTAAACGATGGGTTTTCTGTCAGTCACCAGTGTTCACGAAGCATCAATGGGAGATTTCGTGTGACGGTCACCGGTGACCGACATAGCTTAAACGATGGGTTTTCTGTCAGTCACCAGTGTTCACGAAGCATCAATGGGAGATTTCGTGTGACGGTCACCGGTGACCGACATAGCTTAAACGATGGGTTTTCTGTCAGTCTCCAGTGTTCACGAAGCATCAATGGGAGATTTCGTGTGACGGTCACCGGTGACCGACATAGCTTAAACGATGGGTTTTCTGTCAGTCACCAGTGTTCACGAAGCATCAATGGGAGATTTCGTGTGACGGTCACCGGTGACCGACAGCACGATGACCGTGTTAATTGGCCTTCGATGGTCAATTGAATAGTTCAATCAAGTATAGACGGATAGGTCGAACATCCCGTCGATCATTATGCGTCACGCGATAACGTCCGGTTATCTGTTCGATGAAGTGAAATTAGCAAAACAGATGTTCAGCCGCGATACTATCGCGCGAGGTCGGTTCTTTCGTATTTTCACTGATTCCGTGAATCATTCTCGTATCGTCGGACGAACCGGGAGCGCGGACTGTCGGCTGTCGCGCGCGCGCCGCTCTCTCCCGCGCAATGTTATCGGATTGTAGCCATTATCAGTGAGTAAACACCGCACTGTGAGAGTTTGTGGAATATTTTAATTGCCGGCTTAACAACCTGCGACGCTGTAAGAAATTTTTTCGGGTTTTTTCATCAACCAGGTGTGTGTGAAACGATTTGGAGTGGATGATTTTTTAATTGCTTCGAGGACGAGAATTGTTTTCGTGTGTTGGATTATCAAGAGAGCAGAATTTGTGGAATTGAAGTGTAACATCTGTTGGAATTTTTTTTTTTAGTGAATTATTTTGATATTGGAGTCGATCAGTCAAGTAGAAGTTTCGGTAATTTGTGCAAAACTGTGACGCTTTTATTGACTTTGGTTTGTTTTTGGGAAGTGTGTAAATGGAGATATTGGAATGACATTTTTGTGTATTTCGCGTAATATACGGGTTTATTGAGACGTGTGTAATTGGTTTCGACTTGTTACAATATGTTGCACAATTTTCCCGTGATCGGCACATCTGGCTGTGGCACGATTTATGGAGGAGTGTTGTTTGGTGTAGTTGTTGCTGTTACTCGAAATATTTAGAAGAATATGTCTGTGAAGTACAGTCTGATGAAGATTAATTGATAAAGAATATATGTCGGTTTATTACTGAAAGATCGAAATAAGAGAAAACTGACAGATGTTTTAGAAAAATGTACTTAGATAAAACAAGAGGAGAAAAATGAAAATTATTATTCAATATTACTGATGCTTCGGGTTAAAGTGCAGTGCTCTACAGCGATTTATTCTGATAAGTGACTAATCAACTGTTTTCTTAATAAACTAGTGACGTAATCTTAACTGTCATTTTTGTCTGTAAGATCTATATTACTTCAAAGGCATAAATAATAATTGCTTATTTATTTCTGCGGTAATCTAAATATTTTTATATTTTTAAACTTCAAGCAGGTTTCTAGAGAACCTCAATAATCCTAGGTGCTTTCTTTTTTGTTACTTTTTGCTTCTCCTATTTTCTGATATCATAAAAACTATAGTAAATATGAAAGAAATTATTAACATGAAAATTCATTAGCTCTTTTTTTTCTGCAAAATTGTACGACGAAATTGTTAAAACAATTTTGTGATAAATAAACAAATAAATAAACAAATTTTTAACAATCTATTTGCCCAATTGCATACAGCATAAAAAGCCATTCAACATTATAACAATTTTCTCATATCTGCTATATTTTTCAAACTATTAAGGAAAATATGAAAACACATTAACGTCGAAGGGGTATTTTCAACCAAACAAGAAATTGCCAGATACTTCTATTTAGGTCCCGAACAACTAGTAAATTCTCAAAAAACTTGGAATTCTCATGTCACCGAAGTTCTTTCGCTAGTAAAAAAGTAACGAATCCCAGAACACAAGTGTCCCGTCGGCGGAGAATTCCTCGTCGAGCCGTTCTCACGCAGTTTCCATTGCGCAACGATCGTAAAATAATTGCAAGGCGATACGCACACACACACACACACATTGGACGATCCTCGCGGATACTCGGTTTTACAATACTCGTTAGCGAGCGCTTCTCGTCAGGACTCAACGTAAATCCCCGCCTCGCGTCGCGTTGTCCGATGTGTAACAGGCTTGAAATAATTATAACATGGTGACCATGGACCCGATAGTCGACGCTACGTTCTTTCTTGCAACGCGAATACACTTTCTGCATGGACGTTTACAATTGCGCGGCTCGCGTGACACCGACGACAACGACTTGCGTTCGTCGCGATAAACCGCGGCTTGGTGGATCGCTAGGTACTGACAGACTTATCGATCCCCTGGTAACACCGCGGCGAAGTAAAGTAGAGTCTCCTATATCCGAACATATGTGTTCGAATGTAGGAAATTGGCTGTTGAGTTACAGAAATTTTTCAACATAAGTAACTGCGTAGAATTCAATCGAATAGCAGTAAGTGTATATTGTAATGCAAGCACTACATATTTGAAAGAAGGAAAAACATCCGTTGTCGGGAGATACTCTGTTCGGATAGTAAAACGTTCGGATAGTAGAACGTTCGGATAGTACTACGTTCGGATAGTACTACGTTCGGATAGTAGAACGTTCGGATAGTACAACGTTCGGATAGTAGAACGTTCGTATAGTACAACGTTCGGATAGTACAACGTTCGGATAGTACAACGTTCGGATAGTAGAACGTTCGGATAGTACAACGTTCGGATAGTACAACGTTCGGATAGTAGTACGTTAGGATAGTACAAGGTTTGGATAGCAGAACGTTCGGGTAGTACAAGGTTCGGATAGTAGAACGTTCGGATAGTAGAATGTTCGGAAAGTAGAACGTTCGGATAGTAGAACGTTCGGATAGTAGAACGTTCGGATAGTAGAACATTCGGATAGTAGAATGTTCGGACAGTAGAACGTTCGGATAGTAGAATGTTCGAATAGTAGAACGTTCGTATAGTATAACGTTCGGATGGTAGAAGATTCGGAGAGTAGAAAGTTCGGATAACAGAACGTTCGAATATTGGGGATTTTGGATATTTCGGATATTCAGTGTTCGGATATTGGGGGTGTTCGGATAATGGAGGTGTTCGGCTATTGAAGGCTCTACTGTACTATAAGCGACTAGGTTCTACACGGATCAATCATTCCTCCACTGTCTTATGTCGTCATTTGTCTTCAAAGAAGTTTTCTCAGGAACTTATTTCCGGACGCCTGAAGTATCGATAGAGTTCTTGGAACCAGTTCGCTGTACAATATTCCCCTCGGAAGATCGTGTTTTGTCGCCCCAACGATTACAAAATTGTGTCTACTACTTTATAAGGCCAGATTCATCAGTTGGGACTCAATTTGACACTCAGCTGCTTGGTTAGAAGCTCAATTTGACTCCATTCGTACCTTACGAGAAGAATACCTATGTATCCAGGAACATTTGCAGTCGCTTGAAGTCTACAGGAAATATTCCATGTTGTCTAGAACGTTTATACCGACAGATTATTTGAATAACCCCTTCCGAGAATCCCCGCAGACAGGCCACCCCCGAATCCTTTGATAACCCGGCCAGAGACGCATTCAATATTAAGTTTCAAATCCGATGGAATATTTTATTTGACCGGTTCGGCTCTGGTTCTCGTTGCAGGCGCTGAAGAGCAAGAAGAAGGTCAGGATGCTGAGCAGCTTGGCAAACTACTTACTCGGGAGTAATATCACCTCCACGCAAGATTCACGGGATGGGTCCAATAACGAAACCCCGGAGTCCCTTCCAGTAATGGCGAGGCTCAATCAGGTGGAGGTTGAGGGCGATGACTGGATCCTCATTGACCGTGAAGGTACGTCCGAACCCCCACTTCAAAGCAAGCTTTCGAGAAGTTCGTGAAAGTTCCTCGACCCTTTGCCAATCCGCGCACTGCTTCTCACCCCTTGGATCTGGGGCTGAACCCTTTCGAGGTGTAAAACGAGACACGTGTTTGAACTGAAATGCGCCGAAGTAATTGCTTATCGAAGGGTCTACACATTTGGCAGAAACTAATTGGGCTACTTGTAGATTATTATTGAAAAAGTTGATAATGATCATCAGTGTGAAAAAAGGATTAATAAGCTTGCATCGAAATGCAGTCTTGTCTGAATACAGACTCAGCTGATAGGCTTAATTTAATAGACAGCCAAGACGTGGGGAGGGCTTGAGTTTTCAAATCAACGCGTTGCTACTAACTGAAGCCTGTCAGATGCAGGAAACATTAAAAGGTTGGGTAAATGGTTAACAGGACTGTAGTTAAGGCTTCTACGTATAATATAGACCCTTTCCAGAATTCTGCACAGGGTACACTCAATAGTAGAGTGGAGTAAAATATTGTCCTTGACAGTTTACACACTGATACTATCCAATTCAAGGATTTCCTTTCCCTAGAAATCCTCTACTGTCTACGTACAATACCTCTATTGAATACTGCTGTTACAATAGCTCTAGTGATTATATGTATAATACCGCACTGTTGAGTTGATCCATAAAACACGAAACAAGAATCCCAACGAAAATGGTTAAAGCGTAATCCATAACATTGATAATATTGTTAAAAAAGTTGACTAAAAAAACGTAAGATTGCATTTACAAATTATTGTTCAGTCAAACAAATTTTTCTCTAATTCTATCTAAATAATGCCTGATGGATATTATATGATTTATCATTAAAAAAAGTATTTTAAAATAAAAGAAAAAAACAAATTTCCTCATTACCGGTAGCCCCAGTAGCAGCATTATTGATTAAAGGGATCCAGCTTCTACGGGAGATCCCGATAGGATTAACATGATTTTATTCAGAAGCGTGCAGAAATTTCGCTAATAAAAATGGGGGCTTAAAGAATATGAAGAACAGAGGATTGAACGAGGATTATTTGAACCCACAGTTGAGGGCGCGACCGCGCTGGAGGAGTCGTGGTATGTAACGCCACCCGCATGTTTCACACGGGCCAGCCCCGTGAACGTTGAAACATCACCCCTGGAGGACCTGCTGATCGAGCATCCAAGCATGTCCGTTTACCGAGCGACAGCGTCTCCGGTCGCCCCCGACACTCCACCGCCCACACCGGACGCGCCCGAAGAACGGGACGTCGAGGACGACGTTCTGCACCCTCCCGTGTCCACCGTGCCCGTTGTCGTCTCACTGGAACGTAGAGCCCCAAGAAGAACCGAGGACGACCAAGCTGTCCGCAGACCCGCGATCCACGACGGTAGACCCGCTGTCGGTCGTGTCACCGCTGAGAAGAGGATAACCCAGCTTCGATCGGCCCAGAAGGTAACCCATTCCAGTCGTTACAACGTTAGTACAGTAAATCATCGATGAGTGATCGGAGGCTCCACTGAATGTTCAGAAGTCATATCCACCACTGGCGGGATCCCCCGTGGAACCAATCAAGCGCACAGTGCTGGGGATGACGTCTGAACACTCAGCGGAGCCTTCGAACACTCATCGACGATTTGGTGTATTACCAATAGTGTTCTAATCACTTAGGTTACCCTATGATCTAGTTAGACGTCTTAGGTACTATTGGGCTAGGCCCAAATAGAGTCAGCTACCTTCTGAGACATGATTCCTATGGTCTTCCAAACACTTTGGTTACCCTACGAACTAGGTAGACGTCTTAGGTACTATTGGGTTAGGGTTAAGTAGAGTTAGCTACCTTCTGAGACATGATTCCTATGGTCTTCCAAACACTTTGGTTACCCTATGAACTAGGTAGACGTCTTAGGTACTATTGGGTTAGGGTTAAGTAGAGTTAGCTACCTTCTGAGACATGATTCCTATGGTCTTCCAAACACTTTGGTTACCCTATGAACTAGGTAGACGTCTTAGGTACTATTGGGTTAGGGTTAAGTAGAGTTAGCTACCTTCTGAGACATGATTCCTATGGTCTTCCAAACACTTTGGTTACCCTATGAACTAGGTAGACGTCTTAGGTACTATTGGGTTAGGGTTAAGTAGAGTTAGCTACCTTCTGAGACATAATTCCTAACTGGTTCCTTCGAACACTGTCCAGGTTCTCGAGAAGAGGTCTACCCAGTCGCTGAAGCGAGGTCGCCTGGAGAGGAGCAACAAGCTCCGGGAGGTGTTCAGTGTGAAAGGCAGGCGGCCCCGCCGTCAGGACCGTCTGCGTGTCCAGAACAGTGGCGCGAACAACAACCGGAAATGCTAGTCATTCGATCTCAGGCCAAGGTGTACTCAAGTACCTTCTTCCTAAAGCAGAGAAAAAAAAGCAAGCTGAAAAGCAACAAAAAAAGAAACATAAGAAGATAACCCACGAAACAGGACACACACGCAAAAAGAAAGGAAAGAACTAAACGGGACAGGCGAGGAGCAACCAACCAAGAACCAACGCGGAACTAATCAGTTTTAATCCCTTGTCGCGTTCATGCTCCAAGCGCGTCGACAGTGTATCGTCCATCGATATAATGACAAGAGTGTCACGTAGAGGTATACGTGATACCAGCAACGACAGGACGGGTTTTCGCCAAGATGTACCCATCAGCCCCCTCGGCGATACTCTCGGCGATCTCATCGCTGCTCAAACGCCCGACCGTCTTTAATCGAGCCGCTGCCTAGCTCGCAGAACGTTTCGAGAACTTATTTTTATTTACTCTCGACACACACACACACACAGAGCTGAAACGCAACTGTCCCTTATATATCTCTCACTCTCTCAATCCTCGTGCATCCAAAGGACACGAGATATAAGGACCTTACGCAATTTGGGAGCCGTACCAAAGCACGGATGACATCCGAAGTCTCTTGAAACTTGGCACGAGTCGGCCCACGGTCTATTTACAGATCGAGAAGAGAGATGGCGGGAGCATAAGTCTCGCTATCCGTTGCGGCGGGAACACATTGCCGCCTCGGGAAGAAAAATGGAAGAAAACGGGGTTCGGTACCGCGATGAGGCTCGGTTTAGGGTATGCCGGAGGGCTGTTGGGGACACGTTTATGGTACTCTCTTTAATCGCGTGTATATTTTTAGCCACTAGTTAGTATGGGCAAATGTGTTTCTACTCATACTCGTTAACGTTAGTTTTATTTAAGACGTTTACCCCCACCCTACGCCCTTCTCTCGTAGCGAAGATAAGTTAGCGTAACTAACGGTTCCCTATCACTCCCCCCCCCTCCCCCGTGTCACAAGACATCACATTCGCTTTGTTTGATCCGTTTTATTTCGCGACGAAAAGAAACTTTTCGGGGCTGGTTCACTGAGAAAAACACGTTTAAACGTAGACATGTCGCAGGCCAGAAATTCAATTCGGGACCACGGCTTTTGGGGCTCGTTATCCTGATCGATTCGCGATTAGACTCTTTCGTGACGTAGCTAATGATTAATTTTGGCGGATAGCAGAGAATCTGTTTTTAAACACACGCCCGTGGCGTCGATAGCTAATCCCCTGGTCACTGGATGATTGTGCAGAAATTTCCTTTTTTCTTCAACCCCTAGCCTTGGAATCTAACCCGTAGTCAGCACGAATGTCTACATTATAGAGACGTCATGTCGAAAGTAATTAAATAAAAATTATGTTACTTCCATAAGCACATTAACATAAAGGATATTCCTCACTACTGTAGTCTCTGGGAATTTCAAGAGGGCATTCCAATTCAAGGGGTTAAGGATTCCATTATATCGGACAGCAGACGAAAATTTCTCTTAATCCTTTAATATTAGTGTGCGGTTCCACAATTAAAGGATTAAACCACTCAAAAGTTTATCGAACTTGGTTCGACTGTTTATTTAACTGAATTTCATAGAATACCTACAGCATAAGCATCCGTGGTCCAGGCTCGGACACCAAACGGTCCAACCGTGGTCAGTTAAACCAGCGTAGTCTTTTGGAAGCTCGTTAATAGATGTTATGTTACACTGGACGAGCGTTCCTCCCCCTCTCCCCAGGCTATTCGACGCTCCGTGTGTAATACTCCTCGAGAGACTAAACAACACACACACACACACACACACACACACTGTCTCTGTCCATAGGTTAGGTCCGAGAAAACAGAGTGTAAACGAAAAAGAAAAAAAAACGAAACGGTCAGTTAGGGTATCTAGACTCTAAGCAATAAACCGCATCCGCGTTTTGCTAGTTAGACACTGCGATGTAACGTCTATTAATGGGTGTCCGAATAAAATATTTATTTAGCGGCACGCATTCAATGTAATATCGATTGATATCGAACGGTAAAAATATCGAGTAATATTTAGGTGTAACGTTTAAGTAGGCTGTCATTCGCCGGGACGCGGCCCCAGGGGGCGTGGCATGTCCTCATTGGACGAAATCCCTTGTGTAGGGGGGGGGG